TGTGTGTGTGTGTGTGTGTGTGTGTGTGTGTGTGTGTGTGTGTGTGTTGCAGGGGGTGGAGCGTGAGACGTGACCCTGGTCCCTGGGAGAAGCCCAGATTGTGAGTGAATTCCAGATATTCCAGATATATTGAGCAATCTATACCGTTCAAGTTTGGTTTTGCTTTGAGCTGATCACGCCTGTGCCCTTGTTTTTCTCTCTTCAAGTAAGAGAGTGTTTTATAGTAGCCCATGGTTGTAGATTTTGAATTTTTGTTGTTGCTGCTTTTGAGACAGGGTCTCTCTCTATATATAGCTCTGGTTGTTTTGGAATTCACTCTGTAGGCCAGGCTGGCCTTGAACCAGCAGAGATCTGCCTTCCTCTGACTCTTGGAATAAAGGCAGTGGTGCCCACCAATTTTGGATATTAAAAGATATTGAATTTTAAAGTGTTTGGATTTATAAAGACGGCAGGACTTTTTTTTTTAATTGATTTTTATTGAGCTCTACATTTTTCTCTGTTTCCCTCCCTGCCTCTCCCCTCCCCTTCAGCCCTCTCCCAAGGTCCTCATGCTCCCAATTTACTCAGGAGATCTTGTCTTTTTCTACTTCCCATGTAGATTCGATCTATATATTAGATCTCTCTTAGGGTCTTCATTGTTGTCTAGGTTCTCTAGGATTGTGATTTGTGGGCTGGTTTTCTTTGCTTTATGTTGAAAAACTGCTTATGAGTGAGTACATGTAATAATTGTCTTTCTGGGTCTGGGTTACCTCACTCAAAATGATGTCTTCTAGCTCCAACCGTTGATGGCAGAACTTTTTAAGTTTGTAAAATGTTTCCTATTGTGATGTTTATATTAATGTGTGAGCTTGGGGATGAGCCAGGAAGGGAAGGTTGTCACAAGTGACGTATTTGTGTGTTCAATTGACAAGGGTTCAGCTGTGCTGACTAGTTTTATGGTAATTTGAAATAACCTAGAGTCATCAGAGAAGAGGGAGCCTCAACTGAGGAAAGCCTCCACCAGCTCAGGCTGTAGGCAAGCCTGTACTGCATTTTCTTAATTAGTGATTGAGGCCTGCTGTGGGTGGTGCCATCCCTGGACTGGTGGTCCTGGGTTCTATAAGAAAGCAGGCTGAGCAAGTCATGAGGAGCAAGCCAGTAAACAGCACTCCTCTGAGGCCATTGCATCAGCTCCGACTTCCAGGTCTTGACCTGTTTGCATCCTGACTTCCTTGGATGTTAAACAATGGTGCCTAAGCAAAACCTAAACAAACCCTTTCCTTCCCAAGTTGCTTTGGTGATGGCACTTCATCAGAGTGGTAGGAACCCGAACTATGACAAGAGAAATCACGAAGCAGAGTGAAGCATGAGAAGTCTAAAAAAGCTGTGAAGTCTAAACAGTAGGCAAAGGAAGGCATGCTTGAGGCCTATGGTTAGAATAGAATGAAAACCATGAGAAAGAAAGGAAATGAAAGCCAAGAAGAGGCTGTCCAATCGCTCAGCAGTTAAGAGCATTGGCTACTCTTCGAGAAGACTCTGGTTTGTTTCCCAGTATCCACATGGCAGCTCCCAACTGTAACTCCAATCCGCAAGGATCTGATATCCTCTTCTGACCTTCTCAGGCACTTCACACAGATAGCACACAGACATACATGTGGCCAAAGCACCCATATGCATGAAGTAAAATGAAGCAATAGCAACAACAAAGAACTGCCAAAGAGATGGGTGCCAGCTGCTGCACACAGGTCATGGACGATGAAGGTGAAGGGTGTCCCTCGTGTTCAGTGACAGGGAG